AGAAGTTTTAGTAAAAAAATTACAAATAAAATAAGATACACATCGGATTCAATAGAATAGTCCAATCCAAACATCTAATCATATGACTAAACAAGCATAAGATTCAATAGAATAGTCAAATCTAAACATCTAATCTTTTGACTAAACAAACATAAGATACAAATCCAATTCAACCATATAATCTGGGGATAATGTAACCCAAGACTAACAGTCTAGTGGATTGCAATCTCCCCTTATCCAATCTATCCAAACAAACACACCTAGGGCATGTTTGTTTGAACGGACTGAATAAGGAGAGATTGTAATCTACCGGACTGTTAGTCTTGGGATACATTGTCTCTGGACTATTTGGTTAGACTAGATTTGTATTATATGTTTGTTTAGTCATGTGATTAAATGTCTAGATTGGACTATTCTATTGATTCCTATGCTTGTTTGGGATATTATGGGAAAAAAAAGATAAATGCTCAAAAGACTATTTTGCCCTTTTGAATTATTTGCTAAATAATAGGAATATTAAATCTAAATTATAAATTTTATTTAATTTTTTTTACTAGAACTTTTAAAAAATTAAATAAATAGAATATTAATAAAAATTACATAAATTAATTTTAATTTGTAGTTGAGATTTTAAGTTTTATTCTACTTTACTAAGTATAATTAATACTGTACGATTATTACAATAAATAATTTAATAAATAAATTTTACTTTTAAAAAGATATTAAATAGTAGAGGGTCAAAAATGTAATTTCACTGCCTAATCCCATGGAATGAGTTTTCTTATATATTGTGTTCCATCCTTCCATATGGCATAGAACAATATAGATTTGGGATTGATAGTTTGGTGAAAAATTTTTGAATCAAATAATGGATTATTAATCCCATCCCATGTTTGAATCATTCCAAACAAACACTACCCTAATCTGTGCACTTGAACACACCTTACTTTTCTACTCATTTTTTCTTTAAAAAATTAAAAAATATACTTATTTAAATCATTTCAAACAACCCCTAACTGTTTAGAACCGCGATAGCATCATCAATGGAGGGGACTCAGGCACTTCTATATGGGCTCAGTTTAAATTGTTCAACTTTTAATATTTTATAAATAAATTATTTATGTAAAAAATTATATTAATTTGACATTAATAATTAGATAATTATATGCTTGGATTATATTTATTTTTAAAAAAATTGATAATTATTTTTTAAATTATATTTACAATTCATTTTTATAAAACGAATGTGATTTAAACATGTCACTATCGATATTTATTAATTTTAAAAATTCCATGAATTAAATTATTGAGATTGAGACAGGATGGGCCCAAAAGGCCTTCAACTGGACCCTCAGTCCGACATTAATGCTACGAAATTATGGGGTTGTTAGTAGATTGAGCAATGATAAAGAATTTCCTAAAAATGATAAAGAATTTCCGTTCAGTTTTTGTTTATTCTGTTTTTAAAGCACAAAAATAATAGTTCCTCATGTACACAATACACAATTTGGCCAAATCTTTAATGTTGTAGAACACATTTTTCAATCTATTTTTGGTTTTTTGATTTTTTTGAATGAAATGATTTACTTACATTCTCAATTTTTTATCTCACAATTAATAAATATGAGTCAATATGTTGTACACTTAATTTTTTGAGAAAATTAGTAGAACATTCATTTCCAACTTTATATACTACGAGAGGTCCAATATATCTTTTTTTATTAGCTAAGGTCTCTTGATAAAAATTTTCTATGATCATACTAGAGAAATTTTAATTTCTTTGCAAAATTAGAGAAGTTTCTCTATGTTAGGGTTGAAATTTCTCTGAGTCGGACACAAATTGTCACGCCCCCAAAATAATATAATAAACCTATCTACCATGCGGAAGAATATAACAGAAATACAATACTTGCGTTCATTAGAGTTCAGTGTTTAACAAACAGTTAAATGCCATGTAAGCTTACATCTTTCCAAGTCATTGCTTGATTATCCAAATTAAGTCTCGCTCGTTACATCTTAAGCTTTTGGCTTTACAAATAATAAAACGTACACACAACAAGACGTAATTAAGAAGCTCTTGCTTCCCAAAACTCCATCCACGCTATTGCCTTGGAAGAAGCATCTCACATGCACCTGAAAATGGTATTCGCATATAGAGTGAGCCAACAGCCCAGTAGAAATAATCTAACACAATTTATGAGGTTTAGCAAAGGTATAAATACCACGTACATAAACAATACCGATCTTGAAACATCCACAAGACTTGCATATTCATAGGCCACTAAGACCAACCTTATTCCATTTTCCTTCAATTCATTTCCAGTTCATATATGCTACTCAATTCATGAGTTAAATTCATTATCTTTCAATAACCAAAATGAGACTACAACTCAATGATTTTCTAATTATGCAAAACTCACATAAACACTTCAAACCTGCCATTTTACGGATATTTCGTCCGAAGGAATCGGCACCTATTTATATATAAAATTTCGGGTCTTTCACCCAGGACACTCCGGCCAACTTGCTTTAAATGAAGTCTATCCCCTTTCTCCTCCCAAACAAATATACATATGCAATGTATCTATAAACATAATCACATATGGTGTACATCCCCTTTCTTCTCCCAATAAACATACATATACAATGTATCTATAATATGGTCATATTCAATGACACCAACAATGGATTAGCATTAAATCGCCTAATCTTCATGTAATTTCTACAACAATCATAGCTATCCTTCATCGATAGCCCAATGCAATTATTTCTAAAGAGATGTTCAATATCAAAATAAATAGTTTATTTAAAACTTCTATAAGTGAGATAATATATATCCAATATCACCATTTATAATCACAACTTTTCAATTTCACGTTTTCAATGTTAATTCCAATTATTTATGCAAAATAATAATTTAATCAAAATTAGGGCAGAATCCTCTTTTCACCAAATATCAACCCAAACACCAAAATCAACTATTTTGGCACAACATAATCTTATATTCAAGCCTCATACTTGTTTACCTCATATTCATCAAAACCCCTCTTTTCGTTTTACACCCAAATCCTAGATTTGTCTAAACCACAATCAAATCTTCTCATCTATACACAACAGCAAATAACTAAGCTAAAAACCATATTAGAATGTAGAAAATCCCTACCTCAAGTTTGAAGAAGAAACGAGTTGAAACCCCAAAATCAACAGTGCCTAAACTCGATCTCCACCGTACACAACGTAGCCCTCGCCTAGATAACCAACTTTGATGAAGGACTTGGGTCTAAATCCCAATGGATTTGGAGAAATCAAAGATCCTGTGAGGTTTTTGGTACGAAATGTAGAGAGAAGGGAGATGAAATGCTTTTAGAGAGAGAGAGATATACAAAAAGTGATATTCAATCAGCCCAAAGAGATAAAAAAAGGGAAAATTCCAGATCTACCTATCTTCTCGCACTTCCAGCCGCATCTGCCTTTTTACAGTGTGCTTCAGCCCCCTGCCCTGTTTTCTACACGTGCGGCCTCATTTCTCGCACGTGCGGCCCTCTCCCTCATTCCCCGGCCCAGTCGAAGTGGCAAAACATGAAAAAAGGATCGAAACCAGGATCGCTACCCAAATTTCTCTGGGTTGAATTTTCTCTATAAAAATGTTGAGGGACGTGAACTACTATGAAAATATTGTAAGTCATTTATCTTATAAAATTTTAATATCAAGAATCTTAAAAAAAAATTCCTACTATTTTTTCACTATTAATTTAAAAAAATCAGGTAAACAATGTCAAATATTTACCCATTTTAGACTCATTGTAACCCACAATTACGCAATAAACAAATATGAAGTAATTATGTAATCCTGGTAGAGTCTAAACACAAAAAACTTTCACTAAATCTATTTTTTGGTAAAATAATAATAATAATAATATAATAAATCCTTTGAAATTTAATTTAATTTTTATTTTTATTTGTAATATCTTTGTCTTTTTTAAATATTATTTATATTTATTAGGAAATAGTTTTGAAACACCATATGGTATTTTGATTAGATGGTGCTCTAAACCGATAACATGGCCAATTTTTACAAGTGGCATTACTAACTCATCTTTTTGCTAAGTAATTAAAAGATATGGCTCACTCCAAGTGTATTGTGATTTCTTATTGAGCAGAATGAAGTAACCACAAAGATCTCATTTGTAACGGTGATCGTCTAACAATTTTCTCTATACTTCTACTTAATTTCTTTTACTATTTCAAAATGCAAAGTATTGTGATTCAGAATTATAAAAATATCGCTGTCATATAATTATGCATGTATTTAAAATTTGTATTTGTTTATAAATTACTATTATTTTTTGTCTAATAATGGTACGTTGACATTGATTGTTCAAATGAAAAACCATGATTTCTTTTTTTCTTGGGGGAGAAAATGCAATTCAGTGTAGCAGTAGGAAAAAAATATAAAATTTATATTTTAAAACAAAATATGATTTTTATTTATAAGTTTGGCATTATCACATTATTTTTATGGTGATATTTGTATCAATTTTTGGCATGAAAAAATTGTCAACCAACAAAAATGGCTTCATTAATAACTTAGAATTTAAAAATAAAAATTAAAAAATTAAAAACTTATTATTAAATTTATTTATTTTCTTCTCATAAATTACTTATTTGAATTATTGAACAATTGAGATTTTCTCTTTCCACATCTCATACTCAATTTAAAACTCAATTAAGCATAACAACCTTTAGAAAAAGAATTTAAGATTTCATAATTTTGAAACCAAGAAAATCATAATCCATAATACGAAAAGAAAGAAAGAAAGACTCCATATGAACCATATACATCATAAACATAACACACACAAACACAACTTAATAATAAAGAATGTTTTATAAAATCAGAGAATTGATTAATTCAGTTTTTGTACATAAATCAATAGCAGAATCAAACACAACCACCAACCCTATGATCCGATTTCTGTGTTCTTAGATTTTCTAACGAACTACATCTCAGTAGTACAAAATGATCTACAGAGGGGGCATTGACCGGTGTTTGGGAGCCACTGGAAAACACAGTCTCTGTGAAACACAGGCGAGCAAGGAGTGGTCGCAACCACAATATCTGGCTTAAACCTCTCCAAACAGATCGAACACTTATCATCATCATCTACCGATTCATCGCCATAAAATCTCTTTACCTTCACCGCAGCCTGAACTTGACTCAACGTAGCAAGAAGAATCTCTTCCTCATCTGTTTTACCCACAAAAAACTCTATCTCATTCGAATCACCATTAACATCTGCGATTTTTCGCTTCTTAGCAATAACACCACCATTACCTTCATCTTTGTTTGATGAATAATGAGTTGGCAACGAAGGCATGGTTCGAGTGCAGCCGATTCCGAGCATGTAAACGTGGACGAAGATGAAGATCATGGGTTTGTTAGAAGAGGTTTGGTTGATAATGTTGTTGAATCGAAAGCAACTGAAGAGGTAGTTAGATATGTCTCGGGCTAGCTTTGGAATGGTTAAGAAGGGGAAGAGTTTTGTTGTTGAAATGGCGAGAAGAAGCCAACATTCCATGGAGTCTTTGTTGTTTAAGGTTTCGTAGTCAAATTTGATGGTGTCTTGTTGTTCTGTGAATGTGTTGTGTTTGGCAATAGAACCATCTTTGGTTTGAGAGACTCGTAATTTGAAGAGGCCTTGTAATTCTGATACATTTGGGTTAATTTTGATGTTGTTGTGCTTTTGGTTCCACTTGAAGGCTCGGACATTTAGGCCTCGTTTGTTTTTAGAGATAGAATGAAAAGGATTGATAGTGAGAGAATTAATAATGAGGAGATTGCTAGTGATGGGATTGATAGTGAGAAATTGTTAAATTATTTTTATATAAAATAATAAAATAAATAAAAAAATATGAAAATTAAACATTAATATTTTAAAAAAATTCTCAATATATAAAAAATAAAAAAATAATTTTTTTTTTTAATTCCCTCACTATTTTTCTAATACCATCGCTACCTCCTCACTATCAATCCCCCTTCTAAGGGTATTAGTAAGGTATTAGTAGTCTCAAGGCCATATCTCAAAACAAACAAGGTATTAGTAATACCAAGGTATTAGTAGTTTCAATTCCTTTCCTATAACCCGAAAGAAATGGGACCTTTTTTTTTTTTTTAATTCCCTCACTATTTTGCTAATACCATCTCTACCTCCTCACTATCAATCCCCCTTCTAAGGGTATTAGTAAGGTATTAGTAGTCTCAAGGCCATATCTCAAAACAAACAAGGTATTAGTAATACCAAGGTATTAGTAGTTTCAATTCCTTTCCTATAACCCGAAAGAAATGGGACCTTAAGCCTTTGATTTTTCCATAAACGCAAGCCATCTCTCTCTCTAGAAAGTATTTTTGAAGCAGAGGAATGGGAGGCGAGAGTTTTGTGAAGAAAGAGAAGCATGGATGACTTGTTTATATAGAGTCGAGAGATAGGTTGTTTATATAAAGTATTTTTTTTAGAAAATTATTTATAAGTCCTATTAAGGAGACTTATATTATATATGGTCTTACTAAAAAAATTATGTTCCCATAAATCCTGTGAGAAGTTTGTTGACACATTTACCCTCAATATTAGTTGTAAATATCATAAATAATAGTAAAACCATATATAGGAAATTAAATATTACCATAGATCATATTTATATAAACGTAACGTAACGTGATACCTACATAAACGTAACGTGACACCTATGATCTATGGTAACATGCAATTTCCTCGTATCTACATAAAACGTAACGTATGTGACACCTATGATCTATGAATGTTGCCATAGATCATATCTACATAAACGTAACGTAACGTGACACCTATATAAACGTAACGTGACACCTATGAAACATACCAAAAAAATAACGTGTCTTTTCGTTACCATAAATTATATTTATATGAAACGTAACGTGGCACTAACATAAACCAAAAATATTTTCACATTCAATCTAAAAAAATAAAAACTCATTCACTGTGTTTGATTGTAATTTTTTAAATATAATTTTTTGAAAATTTTATACAACTTATTTGATTATTTTAAAAAATGAGTTATGTTTTCGAAAAAATAAATGAGGCATATGATTATTCACGTGATGTGGGAATAGGTAGGCTTTAGTAGAACCTACTTCTGTTCCCCTTTATTACCCACAGCAGGAAATTCAACTTTTAGTGGCGTTTAAAAAACGCCGCTAAAAGTGACAAAAACGCCGCCAATTATTTTTGCGACGCTTAGCACCAAACGTCGAGGACGCGGCCGTCGCTATAGCTTTATGGCGTTTTAAAAACGTCGTGATATTAGTATAGGCGGCGTGTCCTGCTCAACATACACTGACGTCTCTGATGATGTTTAGCGACGTTTTGAAAAAACGCCGTCATATCTTTTTTAAAAACTTTGGCAGTTAGATGTAGAGTTTAAGAGGTGTTTGTAGAAACGTCACCGTATCTTTTTCTTTTTTTCTTTTTTTGAAATTGAGCTAATTTTATTTGATTGAACTAAAAAAATACTAGTAATAACACTAATATAAAATAATAACTCCCATTCAAATAGCTGTAATGAAGCATTAATTCACTTTCTCATTTAATTAATATCCAATCATTACCTACAAAATTAACATATCCAAAATCAAAAAATCATGTTTTAACATTAATCACAAACTAACATATATTCAAAAATTATGTGTTAACATTAACCACAAACGAACATTCTTCTCATCTTCACCAAACCATTTTGAAGTGATAGTAGACATAGACACGTTAATGAAACTTGCTCCAGCCTCGTTGGCAATGGCCTTTGCCAACATTGTCTTCCCAGTGCCAGGACGCCCAAATAGCAATATTCCTCTGCATGGCTTTAAAAGGCCTCCCTTGAATAGGTTTGGTCTTTAAAGAGGTAGCATCACTAGTTCTTGGAGAGATTCTTTAATATCATCCAAAGCACCAATATCTTTGAATGTCACACCGATCTCACTAGCTGGTATGACTTCTGGCCTTGTGCGCTTCTCAAATTCATTGTCAGGAGAAAGGAACACGAATGTGAGTGTAATCGCCCAAAGGAAGTGAAAGAGACAACACTCAAAGCAAAGAGGGCAAAAAATGAAGCGAAGAGACGCAGCAGCAGAGTTTAAACCTCGACAGGTCGCTCGAGCGAAGACTCTCTCGCTCGAGCTAGGACAATGATGCGCAAGGGGTCACTCGAGCCAAAAACGCACGCTCTTAGGTCTAACTCAGCAGTAGAAGCACGCTCGAGAAAGCAATCCTTTGCTCGAGCGAAGAAGAAAAAAAACAAAACACAAAAAAAACTTTTTTTTTTTTTTAAACAAAAAACCAATACTCACACTCTGTCGTGAAACCTGAAACACAAGTGAGTAAGCACAAGAGCATGAGGATGATACTAAGATGAAATAATCTACAAACCATGAAGCCCGCTAACTTGCAATTTTGACAAGATGAAACTTGTGATCATGAGCAAAGTAGATAAAATATAATCAGTGATCATAAGCTACACGAGAATACATAACTCAAAATCCAACACGAGTGCTCACAAAATAAAGGTGTGTGTGTGCAATCCTTGAGAGGCCACTGAGCTAGAGTTAATCCTCGTAATGATCGGATGGCTGGACCTCCGCCAAGAATAACTAAACATCACAGAGAAAAGTCAAACCACTAGGAATCATGGGGTATTTGTTGAGTAAACGCGAAGGCACCCCCTCAATCAATGAGTTTTTTTTCTTTCTTTTTTTGTTATGTTTTTTTCATTTTTTTAAAACTTTTCTTTCTTGTGGGCACTCACTGGTGGCATTCACACTCAGGAGTATGGAAACCAAACCAAAGAAGAATGAAATCAAAAAGGATGGCCTGGTTGGTGTCTCTGAGGTAGCCTTTTCCTAATGCCCGGACTTCAAGAAACTAAGGGAGAAACCGTGGAAGTGAAAAATGATGGTAGATGGTTAAGATATTCAACATCACCCATGATATACTAGTATCGATCAATTCTACTGTAAAAGTACAAGAAACACTATTAGTGGTCCATAGAGAACTTTGATCACTTGTGCGGAAACCCCTACAACAATTTATCTCAAGGATGTGTACAGAATGAGATCTTGAAGTAAATGAGCATGGACATTCAGAATGAGCAGTGTTCATATAAAATTTTTGATGCAAAGATAACAAGAATCATTGACTATGAGATTATAACATCCAAGCACACAAATAGCAAACACTCACTTCCCTTCAAGTAACAGGTAACACCCTAGTGACTGAGCATGACACCCAAGGCCTTTCTAAGGAACTCAAACCGATGAAGATTAAGGGGTTTTATAAAAATATCAGCCTTTTGATGCTCAGTGGGTACATATTCAAGAACAACAAGGCCTTCTTCCACTAACTCTCGAATAAAATGATGACGAATGTCAATGTGTTTGGTGCAAGAGTGTTGGACAGGGTTTTTTGAAATGTTTGTGGCACTTGTATTATCACAGAAAAGAGTGAGAGTGTTCTGATCTATCCCATAATCATGAAGCATTTGCTTCATCCACAGCATTTGTGCACAACAACTCCCTGCAGCAATGTACTCAGCCTCAGCAGTTGAAAGAGAGATGGCATTTTGCTTTTCACTATGCCAGGAAACCAAATTATTCCCAAGGTAAAAACACCCCCTGGATGTACTCTTCCAATCATCAGCACACCCTGTCCAGTCGGCATTAGAAAAATCAGTAATTTCAGCTGTAGTGTCAGAAGAAAACCAAACCCCAAACCCCAATGTCCCATTAACATATTTGATGATGCGTTTGACCGCAAGAAGATGAGACTCTTTAGGACTGACTTGGTAACGGGCACAAACACCTACACTGAAGGCAATATCAGGACGACTGGCTGTGAGGTAAAGAAGACTACCTATCATACTCCTATAAAGGGTAGGATCTACATCAACACTAGAGGAATCTTTGGAAACGTGAAGACTGGTGCTCATGGGAGTACGTGCATGTTTAGCAAACTCAAGACCAAACTTTGACACAAGATTTTTGGCATACTTAGTCTGAGAAACAAACATACCCGAATGAGAGACTGTTTAATTTGAGACCCAAGAAATAAGACAACTCTCCCATCATGCTCATCTCAAACTCATGTGTCATGCAATCCGAAAAATATTTCACAAGATGATCAGCAGTGGATCCAAACATAATATCATCAACATAAATCTGAGCAACAAGAATATGAGACTTAGTATGTTTCACAAATAGAGTCTTATCCATACTGCCCCTTTGAAAGTCATTATCAAGAAGAAAGGTAGTAAGTCTATCATACCAAGCCCGAGGGACTTGTTTCAACCCATACAAAGCCTTGTCTAACTTGTAGACATGGTTTGGACATTTAGGGTCCTCAAACCCTTTTGGTTGCTCAACATAAACCTCTTCTTTTAAGTACCCATTCAGAAAGGCACTTTTCACATCCATTTGAAACAATTTAAAACCAAGAAAGCATGCAACATCAAGTAAAATTCGAATGGATTCGAGACGTGCAACTGGGGCAAACGTTTC